TTATTTTCTTCTAATTATTTTTATTCGTCTTTTCATATAAATATAAACAATTACTTGAAATTCTGATCAAGATTTTTAATATTTATATTTCATTTGATCATATTTATTTTATATTCTTACTTCACTCTAAGATGATGTAATCATATATTATTTACTTACTCAGTTATATTTATTTTTGTTCTTATTTTATTTTAATAAAATCTATCCTCTCTAAGATAATATAATCATATATTAATCTAAATTTTCTGTTGAGAAGTAAATCGATTGTCGCATATTTCTTATATTTTCCCATTCACTTGTCTTAAATATTGTTTAGGCTAAAGAAATTAACCAAAGGCGACCTACATCTCGGCATACCCTTCCATGTCACCACGCCCCTTTGAGTTGACAATAGTATCGAGGGTTTTACCTGGGGACTCAGCATAAGCTTACGACTGGCGCGACAAGCGATCAATGATAGGGCAAAGCAATTGTCATTTATTGCTTGTGGGGCGACGCGTGCAAATTGCCAAGAGTGCTGTTAGCAGAGCTCCACTCCAAGCAGAGGCGGCGAGTTATAAGAACTTTTAACTATTTGTCATAAATACGTTAAGCGTGTGTGCTTTAAATGATATTTACCTGAGCTCCAAAATGCTGAAACACTTCACACATAATTAACGCCGGTACATTTTATTGGCATTCGTCATAGAATTACCCAAACATACTCAAATATTCGAGTTGAATAGTAATAGACTCCAGTGAATAAAGCATCATCCATTTTACTTTTCAAGTTCACAATTTTTCATTCTTTTTTTTTTTAGCATGTTTGCATTTACTGTGAATCAGGTTTCATGTAATTTGTATTCCCAATTCCAGTTGCCTTAGTCAACAAATTAATTATATTTTACTTTGTTTGTATTTTATAACTAATGCTAATTTGTTTCCGTTTTCAGGCATCACGCAAGGTGTCCAAATGCGGCTACTTGTTTGTGGCACCAGATTGGGACTTCTCGAATCCATTGTATAGAACTAAGGTGAGTTAAGACTGATTTTAGTGTCTGTGAGACACAATGAATTAATTTGCAAGTCTGCAGATGTCTTGAAACTGAATATTTAATCAATGAAGAGAACAATATGATGAGCTTCTGCGTATTGAACATTTTAAGCCCCATTAAGGGCTATTGAAAATGTTTATTTGATCACGAATCTTCTATTGAGAATTGAATATATATGTAAATATANGCTTTGAATTTAAAGATTCAAGGCCAGATTTGCCATCGCATTGGATCATTGCAACCTATTGAAGATGCACAGCAAAAATTCTTGCAAATATACTTCATGGGCAATATGGAAGAACAACTTGACCGGCGTCAAGAAATGAACACAGCTATGAAAAGAGCAATTCTCCATGATTTGCATGCTTAGAAATTTAAACCAACCAAAACTGTGCAATGGAACGCGTTTGGTGATAAGAAAACTGATGAGCAATGTGATTCACGCGTTGATACTCAAAGGAAAATTTAAAGATGAGGAAGTTCTTATTCCTAGGATTCCGATGAGCTCAACAGATATGCCCTTTGAATTTAAACGAATTCAATTCCCGCTTCGTCTTGCCTTCGCCATGACGATCAACAAGTCACAGGGCCAATCTTTGACTATTTGTGGCCTCAATCTAGAAAATGCGTGTTTTTCTCATGGTCAATTGTACGTGGCATGCTCACGTGTTGGCAAACGATCCGCATTATTTGTTCTTGCACCCGACCAAAAAACGAAGAATGTCGTTTACAACAAGGTGCTTGAATGAAAATCCGATTAATAAATTTATCAGTGTATCCCAGCCTGAACAACATAGCTTTCAACAATTTTTTACCTAGAAATAATATAGAGGGCAATGCAACGTTTGCCGGGCCAGCTAGTTGTTTTAATAAAATGCTACATATTGTTATTGTTGAATACTTTTGTAGGCAGAACTTGTAGGATATATATAGACATACAGATGCTGCTTCAGCTCAGCTCTAGACCTCCCATTCTGTTCAATTCAGTTGGATATTCGGTTAGCGAAAGAGTAAAAATTCCTATAAATACCAAAAATCCAAACATTCCATTTCATTGTCAACCAAATTGCCTCCTGTGAAATCCTTGAACTACTCTCGAGAGCACAAATATATGCAACTGATCGATTGTCAGCTCACTTTCCCAAATTTCCAATTGTCTATCGTGCAGCAAAAGTAGCATGGAGCAAATTGTTCGCCTTGTCGGAGACAAAAGCACTTGAGCGAATATTTGACAGCACGGAGCCCGGTCGATTAAAGAAAGTGCCACTGGCCCTGACACTGGCATCCAAAACCCAGGACCCGCTACCCGGTACTGTAACTGCTGCAGCAATAGCAACGGCAGCAGCTGCTGGTCTGGACCAGGCAACGCCTATTCCTCTCCAGCCGATTCGTATCTCGACCAATTAGCGAATGACGTAGCGACGTGACGGCACTCAGCGCATCGTTAAGGCTGCGAAATACTTGTATGCAAATGCCTGGTCGGGGCCGGAGTTGCCGGTTTGAAAACGAACAGCGGAGGGAGCGGGGGCAGCAGGCAGAGAACTAGTGGGGGCTTTCTAGAAATGGACAAGTGTCCACGGAGGCCAAAGCAACGTCAACGTCGACAACGACAACGACAACGACGACGACGACGACGATGATGATAATAATAAAAGTGTGTTCATGCGCATTGCGCATTTCCTTGTTAACAACATAAATTTACGTATGTTTTTTAATGGCTGGACAGGTATTTAATTAACAATTGCTGCATAGATTCACATCCAGCGTATCAACCGGATGTGTGTTTCGCTCTGACTCTATCTCTCTCTTTCTCTCCTAGCAAACGACAAACAAGTGATTTCGAGGGGTGTGGCTATAAATTTTCATGTGAGCAGTGAAATTGCTTGAGAAATTGAACAAACAGCAACTCCGTTCGTACGGTCAAGTGCTGAGAAGGAATCGAATGTCTCTCCCCTCTCTCTCTCTCGATCTCCCTTACTCTTATGTGTTTAGCTGCCAGCTCTGGGTGACCTACTAGAGTTGGCTATGCTTGCCTTTGTTGATCCATTTCTTGATCTATTCGCCGAACCCTTCGAGCCATAATTTGCCGTCTGCATTTGAGCAATTATAGCATTTCGCAGTTTACCGTTTACAGTTTACAGCTGTAGGTGCAGCCAATTTGTTTGTTGCCCCAGCCTAGGCAGCACCGCCAACTCTTTTGGATATTATTTATTCAGTCAATGTGCCCGCACCTCAAACCTGAACCGAGCTGAAAAATTTTGTTTTTTTTTTTTTTTCGCAAAGGCCAGCAGCTATTTGTTTGAAAACTTATTCAATATGCCTAGGGCTTTCTCTTTGGTGGCAAAAAATAATTAGATTTTTGAGTTCAAAAAACTGAACGGCGTTTAGGCAATTTAATTTACATTCCAGCAATTAAATATCAATAGTAAATGAATTTAGAATTAGATGCTTTTGAATTATAATAAATAAAACAAGTAAGAAAGCTCTAGTCGAGACTGCTCGACTACGAGATCCCCTGAACTTTTTATCGATAAAAAAAGATCGGGATGAGTTATCGATTTTTAATGATAAACTTGATATGCGCGCTGTAATTACGGACATTTAAAAAAAAAATTTGAAGTTTCTAGCTCTTATATCTTCTGAAATCGACGCGTTCATACATACGGACAGACGGACAGAC